CAATTAGAGAGGCAAATTTTGATTTTGTCATCTTGCTTTCCGGAGTAACAAAAGCATTAAATAAACAAACTATAGGGAGACTAAAGGAACATATAAAGGAAAATAGAGAACTTGATGATATTAAAATAGAGGATTGAGGAGAGACTTACAAAGGCTTGAGAAGCGATCGCGTTAGGGAAATAAACTGAAAAAATTTGGTCTCTTCGGTTATAAAAAATGCATCTAAACTTCGGCAAATAAAAAAGATGGTAAAAAGTTTTGCTAGACATAGAGTGTTAATCGTAGATGATGAAGCAGATCAAGCGTCTTTGAATACTCAAGCAACCAGAGAAGAAGAAAGTGCAAGTGCGGTTAACGATGAACTTACTCAAATTATGAAAGCCTTAACTAATCAAAACATAAGTTTCAATTATATGGGCTTAACTGCAACTCCCGCTGGCATTTTGTTCTTGGAGAGAGATGATCTATTAGCTCCCGATTTTTCTCTGCTATTGAAACCAAGAGAGGGTTATATGGGACTTAAAGAGTTTTATTTACCAGAAAACTATAGTAGACGATTCATTGTAGCAAGCGAGAGTGATGCAAATGATTGAAAGTATTTGCACGAAGTCATAAATACATTTATCGTCGGAACAGTTTTGTCCAAGATGAATTGTAGTAAAATGTTAATTCATATTGATCGTAAAACTTCCACACATGAACAAATACATGAAGAAGTAGACAAACACCTAAAAAAAATGTCCTATTATTCTCAAAAACAAAACCCTTATATGGCCGGCGGAGGCTGATTAGAAGAACAAGTTAAGAAAGGATTGAAATATTACCAAATTGCTTGACAAAGTTGAACTCCAAAGGAAAGCAGTAAACTATTGGAAATTATAAAAAAAACAGGCGCTAAAGTTGTTAACAGTAAAACTTCTGAAAAGACTGAGACTCCTCAACATTGCATTTATATAGGAGGTGATGTATTTAAGCGTGGATATAGTTTTGACAATCTTCTTGTCACGTTCCTCACGAGGAGAGCAAAGGGGGTAAGTTATTGAGATGCCACCGCACAAAATTGCCGTTTTTTAGGATACCGTTTACCCTATTTTGAATGAATGAAAATTTTTGTCTCTAACGAGGTCGAGAAAGATGTGAACTACCCCTACTTATAGAAGTGGGGGCTTCTCGGTTCCTAGACAAGGCTATCACCTAGTCTCCCCGAAGGCTCAAACCGAGCCATTCTTGCCAACTAGCAAGTGTTCTACTAGAACTTTACCCTGATTTATTGCATCAGGCCATTTCATCCTTTATTTATACTTTAAGTATATTATATTTTTAGCAATTCATCCCCCAGTTATAGAACAAGGGGACTTCTTGCTAGGGTTGGTTAAAGGAAACATGAGAGGCGGAAGAGAAATTTCTTAGGTCTTTTGAGGAAGGGCAATTATCACTTAGTAAAGAAAGAACCGGAAAAGAAAGTTTTAATAAAGTTTTTCTTACAAAAAGGATGAACCCAATGCGTCCAGGAGTTATCCCTTGAAAATTTATAGAAGCAAGTTTTGAGGATTCTCAAGGCATCATTTCTGCAACTTTTTTCAAGCAAAAAAAGGTCTATAAGGACAAAAGTGAAAAAGTGGTAGAAACCTTAGATAGCGAATGAGAATTTTATGGCAAATTGCGGGAGCAAACTAAGCAAAGTGAATTTAAAAAAAACATTAGAGAATTAAAGAAAGATAATCTTCTTCTTTTAAAAAACTATGTTGGTTGAGAAACATGAAATCAGATCATAGACAAAGTTTCTAACTTTAACGACGGGAAAAGAAAAGAAGTTGAGGAAAGACTTAAGTCTCTTTTCAATGTTGAAGTAAATATATTGTTGATGAGAGCAGAAGAAAATATTTTAAGAACTGCATTGGGAGAAGATCCAGAGGTAAACATTTTTTCTGGAGAAAAAAAGTCTAAAGAAAAATACTGAGAAGGAGATGAAAATATCTACAAGTATTCACAAAACGAGGACAAAATTCTACTATACGTATATAATTATAAAATTAAAAATGAAGAGACTGAAGTAAAAGGACTATTTTACGCTTTTAGATTCCCACAAACTCGATCAACTAAAACCAAAAACAAATCTGAAAGTTATTACACAAGCCAAAATATAGGAAAATAAGAATGAATTTTAGAAATATTGATCTAATTGAATTTATTCAGCACTACTGGAAAGTAGCAACCCAACTCTTTTAACTATCATTTGACATGTCAAGCATCCTCCAAACCCTAACCCAACTCCTCAAAAAAGACCAAAGACTAGTAATAGACGGCAATCTAGCCAAAAACAAAATTATTGAATTGGCTCTGAAATTTGACAAAG